TCTTAAAACCCTTGCTCATCTTTCCTGGGGAGCTGATTGTCAAACTCTGTTTCGCCTACATTCAGCCCTCGTTTTATCGAAACTCGATTATGGTGACCAGATTTATTCCGCGGCCTCTCCTGCTACTCTCTCTAGCCTTAACTCTATCCATCACCAAGGATTACGTTTGTGCCTTGGTGCTTTTCGCTCTTCCCCTGTTGAGAGCCTCTATGCAGAAGCGAATGTTCCATCCTTGTCTGATCGCCGTGATGCCCATTGCCTTCGCTACTATGCACGCTCTCATGATCTCCACAATCCTTCCTTTTATAGAATGGTCACCGATATTAATAGACATTCTTTATTCGTTCGCCGCCCCTGTTTGCTCCGTCCCTTTTCTCTTCGCCTACATTCACTCTTGTCTTCCCTTCAGTTACCACCTTTATATGTTCATGTAGCATCTCACTTTTCCCTACCCCCCTGGGAAGTTCCAGCTGTTTGGGTCTGTTCTTTCTCACTCCCTTGCTCGAAAGCTCAACTGCCTACTGTGGCTTCCCGCTCTCTTTTTCTTGATCACTTCCACTCCCATTCTCATGCCACCGCTGTGTACACAGATGGCTCTAAGTCTTCAGACGGCGTCGGATTCGCAGCAGTGTTTCCGGACAGCGTCGTGTTGGGGCATTTACTATCTTCGGCTAGCATTTTTACTGCTGAACTGTATGCCATTCTTGCAGCACTTATTCGTATCGCATCTATGCCTGTGTCATCATTTGTGGTAGTCTCAGACTCCCTTAGTGCTCTACAGGCTATACGAAAATTTGATACATCTCACCCCCTAGTTCTCCGTATCCAACTTTGGCTACGCCGTATCTCTACGAAGCATAAAGATATTATTTTTTGTTGGGTCCCTGGTCATGTCGACGTACAGGGCAATGAACAGGCAGACACTGCTGCACGGTCAGCAGTACATGACCTACCAATTTCCTATAGAGGTGTTCCATTTCTGGACTATTTTGCTGCAATAGCTACCCACCTTCACGCCCATTGGCAACAACGTTGGTCAACTCTGCTTGGTAACAAACTTCATTCTATTAAACCGAGCATAGGTTACTGGCCGTCTTCTTGTCATCAGTGCCGTGGTTGGGAGACCACTCTCTCCCGTCTTCGCATTGGCCACACTCGTCTTACTCATGGGTATCTCATGGAGAGGCACCCTGTACCTCTCTGTGAGCAGTGTCAAGTTCCAGTATCGATTAGCCACATTCTGTTAGACTGCCCCCTCTATCAACGAGCACGCAGAATTTACCTCCAACGCCATCTTCGTTCTACTACTCTCTCTTTACCTTCCCTTCTTGCTGATGGACCCTCCTTTAATCCTGACTCTCTCATTGACTTCTTGACAACGACTGATTTGCTCCACAAACTCTGATGATGATACCTTACGCACTCCCCTCAGCCCTTTCTAGCTCAGTCTCTTGCTGCCCTTTACCCTTTCACCATCCACTGCTCCGCTGTTATCCATAACCTATTACTCATCCACCTCCCTTTTGCCACCTGATGCCCTCGCGTCCTTCCTGCCCTGCAGCGCTGTATAGCCCTTGTGGCTTAGCGCTTCTTTTTGATTATAATAATAATAATATTCACACAAAAAGTAGATTTACTGTTATGCAGACTACTGCATTATTGTAATAATTGTATAAATAATGTCAACCCATTTGTGACTGCCTATTAGAATGGCTAATTGGACACTTATTGGACAATGACGTCATTTATATACTCTGAACATCGGCAAAAATCCAACATTTTCACTACTTTGAGCTCGATTTCAAGGCCCTTTTCATCGTGAAATCAATCAGAGTCATCTCTATTTTTGTAACATGTTTTCCATTCTATGAAATTAGACCAAGAAAATGAGATTACAACCATAAATACTACATGAAAATACACCTCAAAGTCGGCGTTTTAATCCAAAAACACGGTCAGTTTTTTTTCTCATTATCCACTGCGTGCTGCAGGTTTTTTTTTTATGCATGCTGTGCACACTGACCACACAGACTCATTCTCTCACATGTGGGCCTACCAGCTTTCTTCTGCTTGATTTGAAGCCGCTAAAATTTTGAAATATAAATACTGTACGTCAAAAACACTGGCTCGTAAGATGTATATGTACAACCGAAATATAGACATTTCCATTAATCCATCTATGATATTTTTTTCAAAATTATATAATAAACATGCTACATAACATATAAACATGACAAATACATCCCACAGTAGAATAAATTAACAAATATGAGATGTGGTAGTCAGGCGACTTGTAGGACTTGTGGTAGCCAGGTGACTTGTAGTCCAACATCAGAGAAAATGTGTACACTATAATATTAATGGAGGTAACTAGAAAATTATTCCTTTCGTATATAAGTGAGTTTATTCAGATATACACAAATACAATTACATAGATTATCATACATAGCAGCATATGTGTAGAGAACCTAGGATAACCCAAAAAAGTCAGTGACTTATTTCCATATACTTCACTCAGAGCATCATTTCTTCTAAAAATGGTGTTACATGAGAAAGGGAGTGTTTCTCTTTATTTATTCTACTGTATCACTGTGGAGATACAGTATTATGGTATATTAATAAAAGAATATGAAGGAAAACCAGATGTGTTCGCCTGGTTTGTTTACATTACGTGTGGGTGGGATGGGGCGGGGAGGGCTGCCCTGGCAGGCTACCATACTTCATAAACCAGACTTCCTACAAATAAAACTCACCTCTCACCCTAAATTAAGACTACAAATATTTTAAGGTAATTAACCCTTTGAGGGTCGACAGGCCCTCTCCGAAACTCGTTCTCAGGGTCGGCCAAATTTAAAAAAAAAAAAAAATTATTTTCTCTTATGAAAAGATAGAGAATCTTTTCCCGATCATAACGACACCAAAAGTTTGAAATTTGATAGAAAACTTACGGAATTATGCTCTCGCAAAGTTAAGCGGTCTCGGCGATGTGTTTACGCAATCGCGATTTTGCCCACTTTGAGCTCCATTTTCGCAATTTCACTGTACTAGTCGATCAAAAAACATGAATATTCGCTAGAACTCCATTTTTTCTATCGAATGGGTGCAAGAAACCACCCATTTATAATTTCAACTATCCAGTACAGTGGTAGAATTTAGCAATTTTGCCAATTTCAACACTAATTTCAAAAGATCCAATTTCGGAATAGGGTCCAGAATAAACAAGAAAGACATTCCTGGCACTAATATGACATTTCCTCTAGTATTAGTCACGTCATCAAGCCCTCTTATATTCTTTTGCTTTTCCACTTTGAATTTTTATTTCTCACCAAAAAATAATAAGATTTAGTTATGCAGACTACTGCATTAGTGTAAACAAAATGGTATAAATATTTATTGGTGCACTGTGAAATAATATTACTCACCAGTTACGTGTATTGCACGCTTGGCACGATTTGTTTACTTTTGAAGTTTGGTAAAAATCGAGACATTTTCTGTACTTGAAGCTCAATTTCAAGGCACTTTCATGTAAAACCAGTCAAAATCACTCAATTTCAGTAATATGCTACCATTCTATAAAATGGAGACCAAGAAAACTAGAATACAACAATAAATACCATACGAAAATACACTGCAAAGTCGCTGATTTATTAAAAAAAAATGGAAAAAGTTTTTTTTTTCTCATTATGCACTGTGTGCTGCAGGATTTTTTTTAGACTGTGCACACTGACCACATAGACCCATTCTTTCATATGAAGGCCTACCAGCTTTCTCCCACTAGATTTAGGTCGCTAGAATTTATGAGTACTAGTACGTCAAAAACCCCTACACGTAAGACGTACTAGTACGACGAAAACCCTCAAAGGGTTAATGAATGTACTGTATATGTATTTTCTCTCTCTGGGGCGCTTTAATTAAATGTAGTAGTAGTATATTACACGTGGGTGGGGTGGGGTGGGCTGACCTGGCTGGCTACCATACCTCCCAAATGTGACTTCCTACAAATAAGACTGACCTATCACCCTACATTAAGACTACAAATATTTTAATGATAAGTAATGGGTGTGCGCCGTGTGTGTATTTTATTTTTATTGTTTTTAATGTCTAGTTCTATTGCTGACTTAGTATATGTTAGTGTAAACTTGTTATCTGGCATTTATATGCATTTATAAGTCGAAAAAATGGCATTCTGCTTTGCCAGCAATGTTCTGCTTTCTTATAGTACTTGCAACTAACCTGCTGTATATGGTGCTCTCACTTAATTCTTTTAACTGATTTTTATATCCATGTAGCTTTATTTATAGACAGTTTTCATTGTTTCAGCTTTTGACTTGCCTGAGATGCTGTGTGTAATATAAGATTTGCAAATATTGCTTTACATATACTGTAACACAACTCGTCTAATATAACTCACGAAATCGTAATGACACGATTGCAAACAATACCATACCCCGCGCCGGATTGAAACGCATCAGAGTCTCAAAATGCCTGGTGCGAGGGTTTTTGTTCGCTTGCACACTGACCAGCTAGCCACTAATAAGATCGCTCCAACTAGTTATATGGTGTAGAAATATACCTAGTTGGACAAATCTTATTGTGGCTAGCTGGTCTAGTGGCTAACGCGAACGGGCTGGAGTTTTGAGACTCTCTGACCGCGGGTTTCATCCGCGGGGTTTGGTTTGGTTCATCTAATATAACTTTTGAGGTTTTCTTTGTCAAGTAATTGACCTTTGGCAGTTAACATATACAGTACAGTATATTAAAATTGAGTTGGAAGTAATTCTTTGCAGAAAGTGGGTTTTACTTGACCATTATGAAAGTAATTTAGTATATTATACTGTACTCTATTTGCCTGCTGTAAACTTTGTATTTGTTAGTGTTCATTAACAAAAATAGTGATCAGCTTTATCTCTGAATTTCCTTGTAGTGAAGCTTTGATATTATCACTACACTACAATACTTTTATAAACCATCATCTGATATTTTAACATAAATATGAACAGGCACAAATAGAGTGGTGTGGTGTTGGATGTATACGGGCTTGCACAGGGCGATGGCTGGTGTTGAGTATAGATGCTGCTTTACTACACGGGCTCCACTCCCTCAATCGCGGGTACTGGCCAGTTGTTGCTGCACTCCTGGATAAGCAGTCTGTTACTACTATTACTACACTTCCCTATGCCACAAAACCATTATCCAGAGGTAAGACTTAAAATGGTTTTAATTACTTTAGGTTTTGCATTGTTATATTTGCTACTCATTTGCTGCTGATTAATTTCTTTCTGGTATTGGAGAATGCTGCTTCACACTGACATGAAACTTACAACACTTACAGTATTTTTTTTTTTAACACGTCGGCTGTTTCCCACCAAGGAAGGGTGACCCAAAAAGAAAGAAAGAACCCCAAAAGTTAGAAAAAGCTTTCATCATTCAACACTTTCACCATCACTCGTATATAATCACTGTCTTTGCAGAGGCAATCAGATAAGACAGTTTAGGTGTCCCTCCAAACTGCCAATATCCCAAACCCCTCCTTTAACCCTTCCACTGTTGGTGCTGTATAGATACGTCTTACTAGTCAGTGTTGGTGACATATTAATATGTACCTTAAAATTCTAGCAGCTTCAAATCAAGCAGGAGAAAGCTAGTAGAACTGCATGTGAGAGAATGTGTCTGCGTGGTCAGCGTGTGCAGTATAAAAAAAAAATCCTGCAGCACGCAGTGCATAATAAGAAAAAACTCCGACCCTGTTTCTGGATTAAAACGCCAAATTTGAGGTGTATTTTCGTATGGTGTGTATGGCTGTATTCTCATTTTCTTGGTCTCATTTGATAGAATGGAAGATATATTTCAGAAATAGAAGTGATTTTAATTGGTTCCACAATGAAAAGGACCTTGAAATTGAGCTTAAAGTAGTGGAAATGTTTGATATTGCCAATGTTGAGTAAACAAATGATGTCACTGTCCAATACATGTCCAATTGGCTAGTCTAATATGCAGTCACAAATGGGTTGACATTATTTATACAATTACATAATAATGCAGTAGTCTGCATAACAGTAAATCTTCTATTTTTTGTGCAAATAAAAATTAAAATTGAAAGCAAGAGTAATATAAGAGGGGCCTGAAGATGTGACTGATGAATAAAGAAAATGTTATTTTAGTGCCAGGAATGTGTGCATTGTTTATTCTGGACTCTATTTTGAAATTGGCATCTTTTGAAATTTGCATGAAATTTGCCAAATTGCCAATTTCTGACCATATTATTGGGTAGTTGAAATTGGTAAATGGGCAGTTTCTTGTTCTCAGTTGACAGAACAAATACATTCTAAAGAAATAGCTATGAGTTTGGTCAACTGGAGCAGTGGAATTGGCCGAAAATAGGGCTCAAAGTTGGCAAAATTGGCAATGCGTATATATCGCCGAGAGTGCTAACTTTGCGAGAGCGTAATTCCATAAGTTTTCCATCAAATTTCTTACTTTTGGTGTCATTACCATTGGGAAAAGATTCTTTTTCATTTCATAAGAAAAAATAATTTGTTTTTTTTAAATTCTTCGACACGGAGAGTGAGTTTAGGAGTCTTGTTAGTGAAAGGGTTAAAATTTATTTATTTATTTATTTATTTTATTTATTTTATAATTTGAACATTCATACAGAGGTACAAAAAAATACAGGTAAGAGCAGCATGCCAAAGCCACTTGTATGCATAGCATTACGGGCTGGCTTAAAATTAACTTAAGATTAACTAAGCAATGATGTAATCAGTGATAAAACATTATTGTAAACAGATAACAATAAAGCACAAATGAGTATTATAAAGACAGGTCATATGGTTGCTTGCATTGCTGTACATTCAGTAGAATGGAGTATTCTGTTAGGTAGTGTATTTAAAAAATAACAAAGTTAGATTGGGTCTTAGGTTTAACATTTATGTGATATAATTGTGAGAAAAATTTAAGATAAACAATTTATAAGGTTCAGTTATTCAGTATTTATTTGGTTTTAGGTGAGTAAGTGATCTTTGAGAAGAGACTTGAATTTATTAACAGGTAGTGTTTCTTTTATATTTACAGGTAATGAATTCCAGATTTTAGGGCCTTTTATGTGCATTGAGTTTTTGCATAGCGTGAGATGGACACGAGGAACATCAAAGAGTGATCTGTGCCTTGTGTTATGGTCATGTGTTCTGTTGAGGTTGGCAAGGAGATGTTTGAGGGGAGGGTTAATATCAGAGTTAAGTGTTCTATGTATGTAATAGGTGCAGTAATAAGTATGGATGTTTTGTATGGTGAGTAGGTTTAGTGTTTTGAATATTGGTGGAGTGTGCTGCCTGTAGTGGGAATTTGTTATCATTCTGACTGCAGCCTTTTGTTGGGTAATTAGTGGTCTGAGATAGTTAATTGTTGTTGAGCCCCATGCACAAATTCGATAGGTGAGATAGGGGTAAATAAGAGAGTGATAGAGGGCCAGGAGGGCTGACTGTGGAACATAGTACCGTATCTTCGATAGTATGCCTACGGTCTTGGAAATTTTCTTAGAAATTTGTTGTATATGTGTATGAAATTTGAGTCTATTGTCAAGGTGGATTCCTAAGAATTTTCCCTCTGTTAGCTTTGTGATAGGTGATCTGTTGATTGTTATGTTAAGAGGGACATCTGTAGCTCTGTTACCAAACTGAATAAATAGGTTTTGTCAAGTTATGTAATTTTGTTAGTCCTGTCCGGGGAGATTTTTTTCTTATTGGTATTTACAGTATTGGCTAGCGAGGGGGTTGGGTGAGAGAAGACGTATGTAGTGTATCTGCAAATAGTGGGGGTTTTTGAGAATTGCAAAGCATTTGGGGGCATTTTTGAGGGGAAAAAAAGGGGCCAAGGACACTTCCGGGGGGACACCAACTGTAATTGGTTGTGCAAAAAGAGTTTCCCCCATGTGTACACATTTTGGGTTTTTGTTCTGAGGTATACTTGGGGGTAGTTGGAGGGAGTGCCCTCTTAATACCATAGTGTGACAATTTTATGTGGAACAAGTCATGGTCAACTGTATCAAAAGTTTTTACCAAGTCAATGAAGATCCCCATGGGACTTCTTTTTTCTCTGTTGCAGTGTATATATGTTCTAGCTTGTGTATAATAGCATCATTAGTATTTTTATTAGGCCTGAATCCAAATTAGCAGGGGTTGAATATGTTTTGGGAGATGAGGTAGGAGTAGATTCGTTTATGAATTAATTTTTCGAAGATTTTTGAGAGAGGGTGTAAGTTGGATATTGGCCTATAGTTATTCAACTCTATTTGGTCTCCTCCTTTATGGATCGGGGTGACTCTTGCTATTTTGAGAACTGTAGGGAAGGTGGAGGATTCAATGGATTTGTTAAAGAGTGTTGCAATGATTGGTGATAGCACTTGACACTTTTTTGTATATAAAGGGTGGTAAGGTATTTAAATCCCTGCCTTGTTTTTTAGTGTGTTGATAATAGGGAGACTTCGTATGGGTTAGTCGGAGCTAGGAACAGTGTGTTCGGGTAGTTGCCAGTGAGGTAGTCATTTGGTGGGGTATCTGAGCTTGGGATTTTATTGGCAAGGTTTTGTCCTATAGTGGAGAAGAAATCATTGAGTCTGTTTGCTATTTCTGTTGGTGGGAGTTGGGGTTCATCTGATTTTGCTAATTTTATTTCGCTATTTCGTGATATCTTTTTTGTTCCTAGACTTTCTGATAGGGTTTTCCAGGTCTTTTTTATATCACCTCGTAAATTTGATAATCTGTTCTCATAATACAATTTTTTTGCCCTTCTTATCAGGCTGGTTAGGATTGATGAGTAACGTTTTGTTTGGTCTCTGGTTATGTGACCCATTCTGTACTGTTTTTCGTATAGGTGTTTTGTATTTATGGATTTGAGAATGCTGGGTGTTAGACAGGGACTGTTCAGTCTCTTAGCTGTCATCTGTTTAGTTTTTTTTAGGGCAGTGCTTGTTATAGAGGTATTGGGTCTTTTTTTAGAAAATTATTAATACATTCGTCAATATCTGTATAGATTTCTAGCTCAGTGTGCCAGTCAATGTTTGTTACTGCTGTTGTGAAGTTATTAATGGCTGCCTCATTGTGAAGTCTGAAGGTGACTTTAGTAGTGTCTTGGGAATTTACCAAGAGTTGTTATGAGGAAAGTAGGGTAGTGGTCTGTGGTATTATCTGTGATTATGCCTGATTTTAAAGGGGATATGGTGTTGGTCCAGATGTGGTCAAGTAGGGAAACACTAGTCTCTGTAACTCTTGTAGGTTTTGTTACTGTTGGTAGCAACATGCAGTTACTCATTGTGTTTGTGAATTCAGTAACGTGTGGGTCCTGGTCTTGCAGGAGATTTATATTGAAGTCACCTGAGAGTAGTAAGTGATCTTTGTTCATGCATGCATCAGTTATCATACTTCCTAGGTTTTGACTAAATTGGCTAATGTTTGACTGTGGAACTCTGTAGATGTTTATCAATGTGAGAGGTTTTTGTAGGTATTTGGATTTGAATTTAGCTATTATATATTCCCCATGTTCATCCCTTGTGCAAGTATTAGTGATACATTCTAGTTGGTCTGAGTAGTATATAGCTGTGCCATCCCCTTGTTGGTCTGGCCTACAGTTGTGTATGGCTGTGTAACCAGGAATGGCATAGACATCAGTAGTATCAGGCTTTAGCCAGGTTTCAGTTAGTGTAATGATGGACATATTGGCATGCAAGGAATTTAGTAATACTATGAGGTCATCGTAATGCTTGCTTAAAGATCTGATATTGTAGTTAAAGACAGTTATGTTGTTGTTGGCTCTGAGAAGTGCCTTTGATTGTTCTGATGTGTAGTAATTACAGTAACTGTTTGATTCATTTAAATCATTAAATAAGAGGTTGGTATCAGGATCAATGCTTGTCATCATAAGATTTGTAGTGAATCTATAGTTAGAATTAAGTATAAAACAAAGTAAATAGTCTAAAGCTTAAAAATAGTGCCTGAATTATTTAACAAATGTAAAAATAATAAGCGAAGGTAATTTTTTTAAAGCTAAAATAAAGGAGACTATGAAAGGGACTAATATAAGTTGTGGTGAACAATAAAGTGGTAATCAAATAAATGAGTTTTGGAATATAATGGCAAAATTGTGAACTTATTACACTTTAGCACCTGAGAATAGCACCTTGATTATTTTAACAATTGTGAATATAT